CGAATGTACATACAGAACAAAATCGCATCCTGGGTAAACTGAGAGGAAACACCACAGCTTCCTAGACCAAAAGCAACCTATCACCAATACATCAAACTAAATCCCTACATAGCTGCCAACATACTACAACAATACAGCAATCTAAACAGTACAAATTGAAAAGATATACAGGCCATGACATAACTAACAGTACCAACTAGATAAGCCACTGACACTAGACCTAACTCATCTACAAAGTACTTATGCATTCACCTGTTGTTGTGTTGGTTGAAGTCCCTCCAATCCCTCAAAGCAGCCCTAATGATCCAAACTTCATCCTGCCAAACTCCTTCAAAAACCCATAGGTTTCGAGCTCTCCACAACCACCATAAGATATATGTGGAAAGCTGAATTCGATCCTCAGAAGTGTCATTCATAGCCATGGTACTAACCCACCACCACCAGTGCTTAAAAGTCATCCTCTCATGGGGAACTCTGTTCCAAGTTACAGGAGAAAGCTGCCAAACAACCCTAGCNAACAACCCTAGCTTTCCTACACTGAAATAGAGTATGTTCCAGATTTTCCTCCTTTTCACCACAAACCCTGCAGATGGCCTCCACTTCAAGTCCTCTAGCCTGCAAGTTGCTGTTAACAGGGATGATATTAGAGATACATTGCCAAATAAAGTGCTTCACCTTCCCCATAACTGCTAAGTCCCAGCATCTTCTTCGAGCTTTCTTGTTGCCCCTTGCCATTGCACTACTCTCAGCCACATTGTTCCTACACATTTTCTCAGACAGCAGCTTGGAATAGGCTTTCNCTTTCTTGTTGCCCCTTGCCATTGCACTACTCTCAGCCACATTGTTCCTGCACATTTTCTCAGACAGCAGCTTGGAATAGGCTTTCTTTACAGAGAACTTCCCTTTGCATAAGAATGAGCAGTTCCATGTATCAGCTATTCTTGGATTCAGAGTTTGGATATCTAGGATTTTATCAGCATCATCTTCAGTGAACAAAACTCGGACTAATGTATGATCCCACTGCATTCCTCCTGCACTTAGCAAGTCTTTCACCCAGAATAAGTTCCCCTCAACTTCAACTCGCAGTTCAGGTTTCCTGCAGCTAACCCCTGGCACCCAATTCACCTCATTTATTCTAGTGGTTTGGCCATTTCTGATGACAAGATTTACCAGTTGTTTCAGCAAAGGAAGGTAGGAAGCCCAAGACTGCCACAACCAAGATGCATTCCCAGATTTTGCCCAGTCAAAAATGGAACAGTTTTTGAAATATTTACTCTTGATAACTCTGCACATCAGCAAGTCAGGCTGCTCAATAATTCTCCATAACTGTTTCATTATCAGAGCTTGATTAAAGAGCTTAATGTCCAAAAAACCCAGGCCCCCTTCATCCTTTGGAATAGACAATTTTTCCCAAGAAAGCCAATGCAAGTTCTGCTTCTGTTGGTCTCCCTTGTTC